AAAAAAAAAAAAAAAAAAAAAAAAAAGCCACCGAGATTAAACTCCCAATATGGTTCAAATGAGACCAAATTTTGCAGCCATTTAGTGGAGTCAGAATTTAATTCTTTATAGTCTGTATACTCATAATTTCAATATCACTGATGTCCTATAGTTTTAACTGTTGAGAAAAACCCGAGTTACAAGTACAGCACCTTTTACCTGAACAAAATAGATTGGCTCAAAAGGTGCTGTTGTAGCCTTTGAGTCACTTTCGTGTCCTTGGTACATTTTTTTCTTTTTTTGAGACAGGGTCTTGCTATGCAGTTCGGGCTGGCTTTGAGCTCCCTTTGTAGCCTAGACTGGTCTTGAACTCGCATGACCCTGCTGCCTCAGCCTCCCGAGTGCTGGGATTACAGGCGTGTGCCACCATGCCCGGTGCCTTGGTACATTTCTAATTTTTTTTTTTTTTTTTTTTTTGGTACAGGGAATCAAACTCAGGACCTTATGCTTGTCAGGCAGGCACTGTGTCTAATTGTTTTTTTCTTTCAACCTTTACAGAGGGAAGATTATAACTGTCAGAGCTGTTTAACTTATGGTTAGCTGATGAGTTCTGCTGACACTTTCTTAAATACCTTCTTGCACCAAGGTCTTCATTGAAAAGAGTTAAGAAAAAGCGGGTAGGAGAGGCAGCATTCACACTTGCTATGGCCGTCCCCATAACAGTGCTTGACTGTGACCTCTTGCTGTACGGCCGGGGTCACCGGACTTTGGACCGTTTTAAGCTGGATGATGTGACCGATGAAGACTTGATGTCCATGTATGGGTTTCCTCGACAGTTCATTTATTACCTGGTGGAGCTCTTGGGGCCGAGTCTTTCTCGACCTACCCAGCGGTCCAGGGCCATCAGCCCGGAGACACAGATTCTTGCAGCCCTAGGCTTTTATACCTCAGGCTCCTTCCAGACCCGAATGGGAGACGCTATTGGAATCAGCCAGGCCTCTATGAGTCGGTGTGTTGCCAATGTCACCGAAGCACTGATGGAAAGAGCTTCCCAATTCATTCGCTTTCCCGCTGATGAAGCCTCTGTGCAGGCTCTGAAAGATGAATTCTACGGGCTGGCAGGGATGCCAGGGGTGATTGGCGTGGTTGACTGTATCCACGTGGCAATCAAGGCACCAAATGCTGAAGACCTCTCCTACGTGAACCGCAAAGGTCTGCATTCTCTAAACTGCCTGTTGGTGTGTGATATCAGAGGGGCGTTAATGACCGTGGAGACAAGCTGGCCTGGCAGCCTACAGGACTGTGCTGTGCTGCGACAGTCCTCCCTCAGTAGTCAGTTTGAAGCTGGGATGCATAAGGATAGTTGGCTTCTTGGTAAGTTTGCAGGTATAAATCTTCAGCTTGTATCCAGGAGGCAGAGTCAAGAGGCTCACCAGAATTTGAGGCCAATCTGGACTACATAGTGAGACCCTATTTCCAAAACAAAACAATTTAAAATCTTTAATTTGTAGCCATAGACAAATTATGCAGTAGAAGTTGAGTGTGGTGAGAGTGCTGGGAGGCCAAGTGAGGCAGGAAAATTGCAAGTTCAAACCTATCCTGGGTAAGATAGGGACCTGTCTCAAAAGAAAATACACACTGGGGGTGTTGGCACATGCATGTAATCCCAGCACTCGGAAGGCTGAGGCAGGAGGGTGGATCACTGTGAGCACTGTGAGTTTGAGGCCAACCTGGGCTACAAAGTGAGTTCAAGGCCAGCCTGAACTGGATAGTGAGGCCCTGTTTCACAAAGACCAAAAAAAAAAAAGATATTAACTGGAAGCTGAGGCAGGAGAATATGACTACCAGGGCTATAGAGCATATTTAAGGCCAGCCTGGACTACATAGTGAGACCCTATCACTTAAAAAACCCAAATTATTCCATTTTCATACAGGTCACACGAAGAAGTAAAAGAGAATGTGTTTTGCAAGTGTCTCATCTATTTTATCCAAAGATGTGGGAGTTCTCAGGTTCCAAGATTATTTCTTTGATATCCTGAATCTCTCAATTTTGGTATTTTTAATTATAAACCTATGAGCAGGGCATGGTGACACATGCCTGTAATCCCAGCACTCGGAAGGGTGAGACAGAAGGATCGTTGCAAGTTTGAGGCCAGCCTGCGCTACAAAGTGAGCACAAGGCCAACCTGAACTGCATAGTGAGACCCTGTGTCACACACGTACATACATACATACATGCATACATTCCAGCACATATACCCTAAGAAGTCCTCCATGCCCTCTAAACAGAAAAATTAGTTTGAGGACTCTGGATTAGTACAGTTTCACAAATTATCAGGATCCACAGAATCAGCTGGGTTGGGAGTTACAGCTCAGTGGTAGAGTGCTTGCCCACATGCATGAGCCTTGGCGTTCAGTCCCCAGAACTGAAAAAAATAATACCTGGGAAATTTACTTAAAATCTGTTACTCGGCCCCACTTCAATCTTCAGGACTGAGAATCTTCACGAACATAGACACCCTTTTCTTTTTGGTACCAGGAATCAAACTCGGGACCTTGCGCTTGCCAGGCAGGCACTGTGCCACTGAGCTACATCCCTGGCATAGATATCCATTTTTTAATGAGGGCCTAAAAAGGATTGGTATGATGGGCAGGCTCTGATCTCTGGAGCTTGTGTGGACAGTGGATGATAAAGGAAGACTGGCAGGATGATGAGGATCTACTGAGATGTTTTAGTGAGAGAGGAGAGGGATTAGCCCGCTGCTGTATCCTCATACCATCAGATTTCTGGAATAGTTCTAGGTATGTCCTCGAGCCAAGCTCAATCTGCCTTTGGTTCCTTAGCGTGTTTTCACTTGAGAGACTTTCCTTCCTATCCCTCCAGGGTATTTACCTAAATTTCTCTCCTCTCTTTCTGCTCCTGCAAACAAATTCAGCCTAAATTCTTCAGTTCTTGGCTTAGTCCTGTAAGCAGCTTAGTGTGAGATCTGCCAGCATGTCTTGTGGGTGCATGGTCGTGGAAGTAGTCCTAATCTGTGCAGCAGTTCAGATCCTAAGCCCCTCTGGAGAGTCTGTTTTCTTGTGGCAGTTGGATTCTCTGGAGCATTTGACAAAAGGGCTGTATTAAGTAGCTTGTCTTGTATTATCTCCCCCCATTCAGTACCATTTCCTAGACAAACTTTGTTTCTGAGACAAAGTCTCACTTTTTTTTTTTGTCTTTTTGAGACAGGGTTTTGCTAAGTAGTTCAGGCTGGCCTTGAACTTGCAGTGATCATCCTGTCACAGCTTCCCAAGTGCTGGGAATACAGGTGTACCCCAACGTACCTGGCCTCCTTTTTTGGAGACAATGTCATGCTATGTAGTTCATGTTGGCCTTGAATTCACTATGTGGCTCAGACTGGCCCTGAACTCCCAGTGATCCTCCTGCCTCAACTTCTCGAATGCTGAGGTTACACATGGCCCCACCACGCTGGCTGCCTAGAGAAACCAACAAATATCATTTAGCATCTCTGTGTTTAGGCATCACCACAGATGTTTATCTCTATATGCCCTTTTACCACATTTCACCATTGTTTTAGTGATTCTGACATTAGTATTTACTTCCTAACTCCTTTTACCTGACGTATCAAAGGATGTCTGAGCTATTATTTTGATCTCATTTATAAAATGAATGTCTAACCTGGCAGTTAGGATTAAATAATAACAGTCTGTAAATCTCCCTACTCCAGCGGCTGAGGCAGGAGGATCATAGGTTTGAGGCTAGACTGCCAGATCAACATAACTCAAAAGGCTGGAGCGGTAGCTCAGTTGTAGGGTACTTGCCTAGCATGCATGAGACCCTGCGTTCAATCTCCAGTATTACCACCAAAAAAAAAAAAAAAAAAAGCAAAATAAGTTATACTAAAAGGGAAAAGAGTCAGCTAAATATACAATTTGAGGCTGAGTGTGGTGGCACATGCTTGTAATCCCAGCACTCGGGAGTCTGAGGCAGGAAGATCATTGTGAGTTCGAGACCAGCCTGGACTGCAAAGTGAGCTTAAGGCCAGCCGAACTGCATAGTGAGACCCTGTCTTAAAAAGACAAAAAAAAACCAGACTTGTAAATGTAGGCTCCTAAAGGCATCCTGTACTATATTCTTTGAACAGTGCCCAGTGCTGCCTGACCAGGCCAAAACATTTGCTGAAATTGTGGACATTCTGGACTCAGCAATGGTGCGGTGCCCTTTGCTACTCCAGGGCGTCTTAATGGTCTCTGGTTTCTGAAGTCCTGTATGAGAGACACTGCATCCACCCAACAAAGTGAGTCAGGGCCATGAAATGCTGCAGAGACATTGTGCTGCTGTATTGGCACATCACTCCCAGCTGTGTTTTTACTAGCACTCCCAGGATCATTGGATCAGGATGTCACTTAAAGGGAATGCCTTGTTTGTGTTGCTTTCATTGACTTCTGACTTCGTTTTTTTCTCCTGGGCTAATTCTCCTAGGTCCTCTGTTTTAAAAGTATGGTTCCAGCCATGCGTGGTGGTGCATGCCTGTAATCCCAGCACTCAGGAGTCTGAGGCAGGAGGATCACTGTGAGTTCGAGGCCAGCCTGGGCTACAAAGTGAGCTCAAGGTCAGCGTGAATTGCATAGTGAGACCCTCTCTCAAAAAAGACAAAAAAAAAGCAAAACAAAGTAAAAGTATGGTTCTAGTGATTACAGTAGCTTCAAAGGCAGAACACCTGAGATTGATTGATTAATGAAAGAATGAATGAATGACAAGATCTTGCTATGTTGCCTAGACTGGTTTTTAACTTGTGGGTCTAAGACAGTGATGGCAAACCCTTGTAGCACTTTCAGTGATACAAACCAGCCCCATGCGGTATTTGTGCCATAGGTTTGCCACCATCAGTCTGAGATTCTCCTGCCTCATCCTCCCAAGTAAGTAGGCTGCTGACATGCAGTGCTACCCCAGTAGAACACTTGAGTTCTGATGGCAGCCACAGATGCTGGAACTTTTATATTATTCTTCTCAGCACCAGGAGGATGTTATTATAGTCCCCTGAAATCTCTGGGTAGTGTTTGTAGAACTGAAAGTTTAATAGTAAAATTAAAAATTTTCCTTGTAAGCTTTTTTGAATCTCCTGGTAGAATTCTTTTCCTCTTCTGAACTTTGCTTTAAGAGATTTTGAATTACAACATGCTATTTCATAGTGTTTTTGTTTGGGGAGGTGGTTTTGGTTTGAGGGTTTTGTTTTTTTTTTTTGTCTTTTTGAGACAGAATCTCACGATGCATTTCAGGCTGGCCTTGAGCTCACTTTGTAGCCCAGGCTCATCTCAAACTCCCAACGATCCTCCTGCCTCAGCCTCCCAAGTATTGGGATTACAGGTGTGCGCCACCAGGTCTGGTGGGGTTGCTTTCTGAGACAAAGTCTTACTAGGTAGTCCAGGCTGGGATTAAACTGACTGTTTAGCCCAGGCTGACCTTGAACACACGATTGCCCTCCCTTAGCCTCCTGAATGCAGATAACAAGTTTGAGAAAAGTTTGATTTATGTAGGGATTAGTATGAAAAAATATTTATTTTCTTCAGTGCCTCCTCTTGCTTCCTACATTCTTTCAGACTTGGCCTTCATGGGTATCAGTGTTTTTCTCTGCTGGTTTTAGCTGATGTTTTTTTTTTTTTTGGTACTGGGAATCGAACTCAGGACGTTGCATTTGCCGGGCAGGCCCTTGTGCCCCTGAGCTACATCCCCAGCCCTCCCTGCTGGGCTTTTTTTTTTTTTTTTCCGCTTGTGCCCCTGAGCTACATCCCCAGCCCTCCCTGCTGGGCTTTTTTTTTTTTTTTCTCCGGTACCAGGAACCGAACTCACGACCTAGCGCTTGCCAGGCAGGCGCTTTTGCCGCTGAGCTAAATCCCCAGCCCTGGGCTTTTTTTTTTTTTACATGGGTACTGGAAGTTGAACTCATGACCTTGTACTTTGCCAGGCAGGTACTTGTACCACTGAGGTATATCCCCAGCCCTCCCTGCTGGTTTTAACCGAGTATATTACCAGTTGAGACTGGTGTTTTCTATTTGTGATATTACTTTACTTTGTGCTTTTGTTTTTTTTTTTGAGGCAGGGTCTCAACTATGCAGTTCAAGTTGGCTTGAACTCACTATGTAGCCCAGGCTAGCCTTGAATTTGCTGCAGTCTTCCTGCCTCAGCCTCGCCAGTGCTGGAACTATAGTGTGCACCACCACACCCAGCTATTACTTTGTGGTTTTCTGGTATACTTTTAGCTCCAGAGGCTGTTGCTCTTACCCATCTTATGTTTTCTTTTTCTTTGCTTTTTTTGAGGCAGGGTCTTGCTATGTAGTTTAGGTTGGCCTTCAGTTTGAATGCACTATGTGGCCCAGGCTGGCCAAAAAACGCACAACAATCCTCCTGCCTTAGCCTCCTGGGTAGTGGAATTACAGATATACGCCACCTTGCCCAGCTGTACATTTTTCAATTTCACTTTTTTTCCTTAATGATACAGGGGATTGAACCCAGGGCCTCAGGCATGCTAGGCAAACACTCTACCATTGATCTGTGTGTACCAAGATCCCAGCCCTCTCTTTTTTCTTTTTTTTTTAATGCATCTCGTGACGTCACCAGGCTGTCCTTGAATTTAAGATCTTCCTGCTTCAGCCTCTCAAATAGCTAGGATTACAGACAGGCTGTTCCATGGCCCGCTGAATTTCACTGCCTGTTTGTAGTCTTAACACTTACTTCTAACTTTGGGGCCTTCACACAGGTGACAGTTCCTTTTTTCTCCGCACCTGGCTCTTGACCCCACTTCCTGCCCCGAAAACTCCCGCGGAAGATCGCTATAACCTGGCTCACTCTGCGACCCACAGCGTGATGGAGAAGACTCTGCACACGCTGTGCTCCCGCTTCCGCTGTCTGGACGGCTCCAAGGGAGCGCTGCAGTACTCGCCAGAGAAGTCCAGCCACATTGTCGTGGCCTGCTGCGTCCTGCACAACATCTCCCTGGAGCACGGCATGGACATCTGGTCCTTGCCTATGGCAGGGCCCGTGCAGCAGCCCCTGGAGGAGGAGTATGAGCCCATGGAGTCTCTGGACCTAGAAGCTGACCGCAGCCGCCAGGAGCTGTTGCTGGCTCATTTCAGCTGATGGGGAGATTTCCAGAGGGAACTTTGGCAAGCTTTTTCACGCACTCCCACCTTTGTGGCTGTCAGCCAGCGTGACTGAGTATGCAGAAACTTGTCATGAATCAACACTGCATCTTGTGTCTTATAGAGCTGGGGCTGTACCAGAATGTCGTGATTCCAGCCAGGTGGTGGGGCGGGCCTGTAATCCCAGCATTTGGGAGGCTGAGGCAGGAGGATCACTGTGTATTTGAGACCAGCCTGGGCTACATGGTGAGTTCAAGGCCTGAACTACAGAGCAAGCCTCAATCTCAAAACCCCAAAAACCAAAATTAGGGAATCTGTTGATTCTTTGCAGATGGGTTAACTAAACCAAAGCCAAGATGGTGGTCTCTGCTACCCAGTAAACTCCAGGTCAAGCTTCATTTAAAAGGTCACTGATAGTGAACACAGTTGGGCTTAAAAGTCACAGGAAAGGGGAAAACAGTGCTTAGCCAAAACACCTGTTTGGTTTTGATGATCTGGAAATTACAAATAAAAATAGTATTTGTACTGAATGATTTGGGTGGTATTTTGATTTTTCTGCTTTGCTGACTATGTACACAGACATGAAGAGTGAATGGTCTTCTGATGTAAGTTAATGGCTACTGCTCCAAATTTGCAGCCTTGTGTGCTTTTTGGATTGGTTTTGGGTTTTATGTTTTTGCAGTACTGATTGAAACTAGGGCCTTTCCACTGGGCTATATTCCCAGCCCTTTTTAAAATATTGAGACAAGGTCATGCTAAACTGCTAAGTTGCCTGGGTTGAGCTTGAATTTGAGGTCCTTTTGCCTCAGCCTCTCAGAATGCTGGTGTTACAGATGTGTACTTAGATCATATTTCTTATGGTCATGATGATAGAATGTGTTTGGTGATTTTTTTTTTTTTTAAATTCCATGGAGAGAAAAAAGATGTCAGAAATAAATAGTAAGGCACTACAAAGTATGAAGCAGGATGGATGGTGCCTGTAATCCCCAGCACTCCGGAAGTTGAGGCAGGGGGATCGGCACCAGTTCAAAGCAACCTGGGATACATAGTGAGACCCTGTCTCAATAAAGTACAATAAAAAGAAAACTGGCCATGGTTACGTTCACCTGGTGTCTCAGTTACTCAAGAGGCTGATGAAGGGGAGGAGGAAAGGAAGGGGAAGTGATCATAAAAAGAACAGCGATGTGTTATTTACAAGCACTAGCTCTCCTTGATGAATGTCATCATGTACTGCAAACATGCACTAATCCAAAAAGGCTGGTGTAGGAGGTTCACAAGTTTAAGGCCAGTTTGGTCAATTCAGGGAGATCCTGGCTCAAAGTAAGATAAAGGGCTGATTATGTTGCTTAGTGGTAGGGCACCTGCCTAGCATGTGCAAGGCCTTGGCTTTAATCTCTACTACTGGGGGATAAAAAAGCATTAAAAAGAAGGGGTGCTGCAAGGTATCATGGTCCATACCTATAATCCCAGCACTTGAGAGGCTGTGAGTTCAAGTCTATCCAGCTTGGAATACATAGCAAGATTTTTGTCTCAAAAAAAAAAAAAAAATCAGAAAGGGAGAAAGAAGAAACAGGAGAAATAAAAGGAAAATATAATTGCTGTGTTTGAAATACATTCTGGAATTTCCAGGAAGATGGTGGAATGGTGAACAGAAGAGAAAGAGTATCTCTTGAGATTTGGTGTCCAGATGCTGGAACATAGCAATGCAAGGAAGAGGAGCGAAGTGGGTCCCTGGGATCCAGCAAAGATCTGAAGTGATCCAGCAAGGATCTAAGCAAGAATTGAAGCCCACAAGAGAGCCAAGAGAGAGACTTCAGTGAAGATGAAGGAGGTGCCAGGTGGTGCTTTCTCTGAGCCTGACCCACTGTGAGGGGCACCTTGAACCTGCAGATGCACAGTGACTAGTGGTAACCCCAGAGGCCTCAAAAAACACAGGTGGAATGGAGCAATGCATGCAGTGGATGCAGCAGATTATGGTGGTTGATGAGTTATTCAGGTTCAGATGTCTGCTGGGAGAGGGTGATTGGCCAGTAGCCATCTTGCAGAGGGGCCAACTGAACTTGGAATTCAGAGCAGCTGTGGGCTTCCTCCATCTAGTGGCTCCCAGTGTCAAGGTGAGGTAGAATCGAGTTGAAGTCAGTAGGAGGTCGAGGAGACAAGTTCAAGCCAGCAGGGAGCTGAGTTCAAGCCAGCAAGAGGCAGACAGCATTGCTGGCTGAACAAATGTTCCAGCCTTGCCGGGCATGGTGGCACATCTCTGTAACCCCAGTATTTGGGAGGCTGAGGCAGGAGGATCATTGTGAGTTCGAGGCCAGCCTGGGCTACAAAGTGAGCTCAAGACCAGCTTGAACTGCATAGCGAGACCCTGTCTCAAAAAAACCAAAAAGAAAAAAAAAAGAAACCAGCCTGAACTTCAGTGGAACTAAAAATGCAGGCTTGGTGGGATTATCCACTACCCCACTGTAAAGACACAGCTGGTTCACTGGGATTAATCAGCATGGATCACGTTGGTCATGGTGGTATACACCTGTAATCCCAGCACTCCGGAGGCTGAGGCAAGAAGATCGTTGCAAGTTCAAGACCAGCCTGGGCTACAAAATGAGCTCAAGGCCAGCCTGAACTGCATAGTGAGACCCTGTCTCAAAAAGAAAAACAAAACAAAGCAAAACAAAAACCATGGATCTGAATTCTGTCTGCCCACATTGTCTACTAGTGACAGCAGAGACATGCCTTAAAGTGGACATTTTTTTCTCCTTTTTTTTTGATTTTGTTTTTATATGAGTATTAATACTGTTTGTAGGGTTTTTTTGTTGTTTTGTTGTGTTCTTGTTTTCATTTCTTCCTTCTGTCTTTCCCTGTTGTCTTCATCACCAGGTTCACAAAGTTTGTGTGATTTTCCTTTGTCCTACAGCCTTGATTCTAATCTCTTTTTCTTCTATTTCTCTACTTTTTCCCCCTAACCCCTTTTAAATTTTCTCCCCTGAGGATAAATTGCCATATTGAGGGCATATTTACTGTATACAATTTTCTAGTTTGTTTTAGATTTTGTTTATAAACACAAATCTAGTTCATATGGTTAAAGGTGGCAAATTAATAGTTACCACAGCTTGTCATTTTCTAGGCTGTGTTTGATGATGCTGTTATTGCTGATTGTACTACTTTAGCCAACATGACATATTTGCTCTAATCAGTAGTTCTTCCTGGTATCCCAAGACTGAGATTGCCTAAGGTCATAAACAATACTATAGGCCATTGCTGAAGAACCAGGAACTAGGCCAAAAAGGCAGCAAATTTTCACCTTCATTAAATTGAACAGTAGGATCTTGCAGGCTCAAAACCCAAAAGCTAGCTATACTTGGAAGACATCTGTAAGAAGTAGTCATTTCCTAAGGGTTCTAAATACTAGCAGTAAAGCTATTTGCTATAAGCAATTTACAACCATCAACCCAGAAATTAAGCTAAAGAAAAAAAGAAAACTCTTAAGAAAGATGCAGCCCCAGACTTCCAGGTCACCAAAGGCAAGCCCAAGGGTCAATGAGGTGGAACAATTTGAAAGCCACCTACCTGGATTCTCTGAAGTGGTAACAGCAGAAGTAACAAAGCAGATGGATGAGGCTCCAGAAAAAGTCAAATCAGAATTAATTTCTCAGCTACAGAGATAGTGACCATAATGAGAGACACGGTTGACTCTAGAGCAGATATAGATTTAAAAAAAAAAAAATACACGGCATGATACTATTTCCAAAAAAGAAAAACAGAGGAGTTTATGATGGAATTGATGAACATCCAACATAGGAAAGAAATGCAATCCATAAAACAGATTCAAATAGATATCTAGGAGATAAAAAATTCCATTAAAGTATATGTAGGAGCAGGGCCAGGGGTGTAGCTCAGTGGCAAAAGCACCTGCCTTGCAGGTGCAAGGTCCTGAGTTTGATTCCTGGTACCCTAAAAAAAAGTATATGCAGAAGAATGAGCCAAACTGAGGACAGAATATCAGATACAGAAGACAGGATTACAGTCAGCCATCATGAAAGATTTCTAAAAATAGGAAGGGACAAGCTGGGCATGGTGGCATACCCCTATAATCCCAGCACTCAAGAGGCTGAGGCAGGAGGATCACCACAAGTTCAAGGCCTGCTTGGGATACATAATGAGTTGAAGTCCAGCCTGAATTACATAGTGAGACCCTGTCTCAAAAAACAAAACAAAGAGGCAGAGATAACAATCATAAATATATATGCAACAAATACCAGTGCCCCCAACTATATAAAACAAATATTAATGGACATGAAAAATTAAATAAGCACTAATACAGTTGTAATGGAGGACCCCAATACCCCACTGTTACAAACAGATCAACAAGACAAACAATAAATACCAGAACTGAACCAAACTTTTGAACAAATGGACTTAGTAGATGTCTACAGAGTGTTCCACCCCACATCACAATACACATTCTCCTCAGCTGCACACAGGACGGTCCCAAAATAGGCCACATACTAGCTCATAGAAGATGCTTAAGTAAATGCAAAGGTATTGAAATTATGCATATTATCAGACCATAGTGCAATGAAATTGGAAATCAATGGCAAAAGAAACCAGAAGAACTTTATAAACACATGGAAATTAAATAGCACTCTATGGAACAACCAGTAGGTCACAGATGAAATTAAAAAAGAATCTAAAAAAAAAAAAAAAAAAAAAAAAGAATCTAGACAGTTTCTACAATTAAACGATAATGCCAATACAACATACTGGAACTCGTAGGATGCAATCAAACCAATCCTATGAGGGAAATTTACAGCAGTGAATTCCATTATCAGGAAAACAGAGCAAGCTCAAATAAACAATGTAATGTGGAACCTCAAGTTTGTAGAAAAAGAAGATCAAGTCAAGCCTAAAGCTCATACGAGGGAGGAAATTATTAAGATCAGAGCAGAAATTGTAATGCAATGGAAACTAAAAACATAATACAAACAATGAATTGAACAGTTGGTTCTTTGAAAGATTAAATATAGTTGACAAATCCTTAGCCAATCTTATCAAAAAAGGAAAGACTCAAATACATGCAAATAAGAATGAAAGGGGTAAAATCACAACAAATCCTATAGAAATCCAGAAGATCATCAATACCTACTTTGAGAATTTCCACCTAATAAGATGGAAAATGGAAGAAATGGACAGATTCCTAGATACATATGAATTACCAAAGCTGACTCAAGATATAAAAATTCTAAATAAACCAGTATCAGTTAATGAAATTGAAGATGTAATTAAAAACCTACCAACAAAGAAAAGCCCAGGCCCTGATGGATTCACTGCTGAATTCTCTAAAAAATTTAGAGAAGACTTAATGCTGCTATTTCTCAAACACTTTAATAAAATTGAAAGGGAAGCAATAATCCCATATTCATTCCTAGAAGCAAGCATTACCCTCATACCAAAACCAGAGAAGATCCAACCAGAACGAGAACTACAGGCCTATCTCTTTAATGAATATATATGTAAACATTCTCAGTAAGATACT